TCCTGGGGCTGCCGCTGCTCCCAGCCCAGCAGGACTGCTGGGGCTGCCACGACTACCTGGCTTGCTGCAGGGCTGCCAGGGCTGTTGCAGCTTCCGCACTACCTCGTGGCTCCCAGAAGTCCTATGAAGAGTTTAACTGGTGCTGATAAACAATAAGAATCAGCTTATCGGTTAGCTGGTTACCCGATTAAGCTTTTACATCTCTAATTTAGACTCATATTTAAGTAAGAAGGGACTATAATGATCATCTAATGCAGGGATGGGCAAAAGGGCCTCAGCAGGCTGGATGTGTCCTGTCAAACAAGTTGATCCAGCCTGTGGAGGCCCTGCTGCTCCCCCGCCCCCAGGCCAATCAAAGCCTGGAGGCTGGGGAAAGCATGTGAAGTCTCCTCCCGCCCTGCCCTGCAAGGAGTGTGCGACATTTAGAAGCAATGGTCAGGAGCTCTGGCCCCGGCCATGGAGCTCCAGCTCTGGCTGTGCAGCTCCAGCCCCAGCTGCAGAGCCAGATGGCTGCAGAGTTCTGTCCTGGCTGCGCAACTCTGGCCCCAGTCAAGGAGCCAGGCAGCTTCAGTTCTGCCCTGGTTGTAGAGCACTGCCCACTGCGGAGCTCTGCCCCACCTGCAGAGCTCTGGCCATGGCACTCCAGCCCTGGTAGCAGCAGGGCCAGCGGCATCTAGAGAGTTCCAGGGGGCTGGGGAAGCAGTGGGAGCAGGGTGGCGCCTGGGTCAGGAGGGGAGGGACCTCCCCTGTCCGGCAAAACCCCTTGTTCGGGACCAGTCAGGTTCCGAGGGTGCCAGACCAGCGAGGTTTAACCTGTAGTAATAAAACAATGAGAGGACAAAATCACTTAGAAGAAGAACCTTCTTCATATTTATTTATGGATTTTAAGAACTTGGAGCGTGCAGTCCTCTATGGAGACTAAATTTGCAGCACTATGATATAATCCAGTAACCAAGGTTGCAAATTAAAATTAAAAGATTTATTAGCAAGTGTGTATACAAAAGGGAATAGGAAAAGCAAATTTGTTAAATAACAGGAAAATGATTAGTCATGCCATAAATATGATTTCCAAAAGAGGCAAAGAATATTCTTAAATTATTATAACTATACAACATTTTAAGGGTCTGAGGCACGGAGGGACTCTGAAATGACAATCTGATCCAGTATGAAAAGCTACCTTTTACAATATGAAGCACTCGCAGTTAAATGCAATAAGGTGCTTGATCTTGGGCCTGTGCACTGTATGCACAGGATTAATTAAGGAAGAATTACAGGTTCTGAAACACCAATAATGGCCAACTTTTGAGAGAACATTAGAAAAAAAAAGATTATTGCAAGATACTAGGGTGTGAGGAAACTCAGAAGATAGAGAAATGGCGGAATAAATAGTTAGGGCTGTTATTCTGTCAAAATCAATAAAACCCAACTAGTCATTTTAGACTAACTCGGCTATCCCTCTGAAGCTTATCTACTCACTGTCTCTTTTTTTCTTCCTCCTCTTTCCTTCTCGCCCCCTCCCTCCTTCCCTTATTTATTCTTGGATCTGGACATCCAACATTCCCGTCATCTGAAGAAGTGAATTGCGCCCACGAAAGCTAATGATACCATCTACATGTTTTGTTAGTCTTTAAGGTGCTACTAGACTATTGGTTGTTTTTTGAAGTTTTTCCTGTTTCATCTGGCTCTGCAGCTGGGTTTTTCCGGTTACCCCTCAGAATCATTTTAGGATGTTAATGTTGTTTTGAGAACTACTGTAATACTTTAGGACTACCATTTTGCAGTGTTGTCTTCAAGTCATCATTGTCAAATCCAAGTCGAGTCTCAAGTCTTAATTTAAAAAATGTCAAGTCTCTCTTGTACAAGCAAGCCATCAATATCGGCATTTTCGGACAAATTTTTCACCAAGTCGATTTAACAAAATTAGCAAGTCTCAAATCGAATCTCAAGTCACAAACAATGAACCCGAGTTGAGTCTCAAGTCAAGTCACCTAGGTGACTTAAGTCGGACTCAAGTTCAAGTCGTGGGACTCGAGTCAACAACTCTGCCATTTTGATTTAACATTTTTTGGAGACTCCTTCCCCACCCCTTCACCAAGGCCCCACCACTGGCTCACCTCTTCACAGAGGCCCTGCCCCGCTCACTCCATCCCCCTCCTTCTATCATTCACTCCATCCCTCCTCACTTTCTTAGGCAGGAGCAGGAGGCTGAGGTGCAGGAGGGGGCTCCAGACTGGGGCACAGGGGTGTGTGAGAGTGTGCAAATTCTAGGAGGGTATTTGGGCGTGGGAGGGGACTTTGGACTGGGATAAGGGGTTTGGCTGGCAGGGGATGTAGGCTCCAGGGGATGCAGGCTCTGGGATGGGGCCAAGGATGAGGGGGTTTGGAGCAAGGCCATTCCTACCAGTTCTGGTGCCCTGTATAGCCAGAATACTTGCACCCTCCATGGGGGGGATCAAGGGGTCGGCCCCTCTGCAGATGAGTGGTGGGAAGTACTCAAGGGCAGCAGCGCTATGGGGTCAGGAGCTGCGGGGAACAGAAGCAGGGCAAGGAGGCAGCAGGGGTTGGGCTCACCCCTGCACTCACCAGCGGTGGGGAAAAGGGGAGAGAGCCTACCCCCAGACCACTCTGCTCCCTGGCTCATGGAAGGGGTTTGGGAGAAGGGGAGGAAATTGCCCCCACACTCACTGGTGGCAGGAAGCTAGTGAAGTGAATAGAAACAAAGCTTCACTTAGTGTGCATGATAATACAGGACTCTGGATTCAACACCATGGATAAAAGAGTTGCAAAAATGCATCTCCCTGAAATAGCCAATCAGAAGCAGCTCCAAGTTTAGTACTGCTAACTTTATGGATTACTACACACCTGCATGCAAATGAGTTATATGGATCCATGATGCCCAGGCACCAGGAATATTCTTGGCCTGGGACCTGGGTCTAGCACAGTTTGGGCCTGGGTCTGTCCCTTGGCCCTGCCTGCCACTCCTGTGCACACCCCTCTCCCCCGGTGCGGTCCTTGGTCTACCAATTTAAAACGGCACGGGGGCCCCCCTCCGCACCATCGGCAGCGCAGAAGGGCAAGAGTGTTTCCTGTCTGCTCATTCTGCATGGCTGCTGGCATGTCCCTGCAGCCAATGAGAGCTGCAGGGGTGGTCCTGTGGTCAGCAGCATATGGAGACACCCAACTAGGAGTTATCGCCATGTGGGGGTACTCCACATAAGTATCACACTCCTACTCATGCCTGCCACCAAATTTTCTCCCACACCCTCTCCCCTGCATCCCCTCCAGTCCCAAACTCTCTCCCATAGCCTGCTCCCCTAAATCCCTCCTGCAGTCACACACCCTATCCTAGGCCGGAGCCTGCACCTAGCATCCCGTGTCTATCCCAGAGCCTGTATCCCAGATCTCCTGCCCAAACTCCTTTCCAGAGTCATAGACAGGTCTAGGCACCACTACAATTTCTACAAACCTGCTGCTCCTTAACTCTCTGGGAAGGGAAAATTGCAACCACTTTCAGTAACTATGAGTCTGCCAGCAAGGGAGGTTAGGCTTTCTAGAGCTTCAGCATCTAGGTCAACATTCTGACCCATTAAAGGAAGCCTCACTGTTTACAAGTTTGTGTCTATTTCAGTTTCTGACACAGCTCTCATAGTCCCTCCACAAACTGCCCTCAAGCTAAATTATGCATCTGTATTAAGAACATGTGCTTCAGAGTGGGTTTGGACAAACTTCTATTTTTCCTTTAAATATTCTAAACATATACAGCCACATTTTTTTCCAGAAAATACTCCGTAAATGCTAAGTAAATCAAATGAAACTGTTTACATGCATTCTACTGAAACAATCAACTCACCTTACTCTCTGTTTTCTGAAATCCCAACATGTCAGTATCTATACCTATAATAATGGTAAATAAAATAATATTTGTCAAATTTCCTGTCACTGAATTGCACTTTTTGAGTTTCTCAGCCTTTTTTGATTAAGGGCTCCCTGGTTCTTATAAGATGTTGAAGTTTCAAATTCCCTTCACACTTCTTGTTGAGGTCCCTGGCTTAAGCTAATCTAGTTTGGTGAAGAAAGCTCTATTTAACAACAATTTTTTTCTGACTTAGTTATATTACATTATTACTTTTACCTCCTGTTTTCTTATATGTGTGACTCATAGTTCTGTGCCTTCAAAGGCTACCAATCAACTACCATCACCTGCTTCAGGGTATGCAGCATATTTTTCACAACCTCCACACTCTCAGCTCTATTATTTTAGGGTATGTCTACACTACCACCCTAGTTCGAACTAGGGTGGTAGTGTAGACATACCCTAAAATAATAGAGCTGAGAGTGTGGAGGTTGTGAAAAATATGCTGCATACCCTGAAGCAGGTGATGGTAGTTGATTGGTAGCCTTTGAAGGCACAGAACTATGAGTCACACATATAAGAAAACAGGAGGTAAAAGTAATAATGTAATATAACTAAGTCAGAAAAAAATTGTTGTTAAATAGAGCTTTCTTCACCAAACTAGATTAGCTTAAGCCAGGGACCTCAACAAGAAGTGTGAAGGGAATTTGAAACTTCAACATCTTATAAGAACCAGGGAGCCCTTAATCAAAAAAGGCTGAGAAACTCAAAAAGTGCAATTCAGTGACAGGAAATTTGACAAATATTATTTTATTTACCATTATTATAGGTATAGATACTGACATGTTGGGATTTCAGAAAACAGAGAGTAAGGTGAGTTGATTGTTTCAGTAGAATGCATGTAAACAGTTTCATTTGATTTACTTAGCATTTACGGAGTATTTTCTGGAAAAAAATGTGGCTGTATATGTTTAGAATATTTAAAGGAAAAATAGAAGTTTGTCCAAACCCACTCTGAAGCACATGTTCTTAATACAGATGCATAATTTAGCTTGAGGGCAGTTTGTGGAGGGACTATGAGAGCTGTGTCAGAAACTGAAATAGACACAAACTTGTAAACAGTGAGGCTTCCTTTAATGGGTCAGAATGTTGACCTAGATGCTGAAGCTCTAGAAAGCCTAACCTCCCTTGCTGGCAGACTCATAGTTACTGAAAGTGGTTGCAATTTTCCCTTCCCAGAGAGTTAAGGAGCAGCAGGTTTGTAGAAATTGTAGTGGTGCCTAGACCTGTCTATGACTCTGGAAAGGAGTTTGGGCAGGAGATCTGGGATACAGGCTCTGGGATAGACACGGGATGCTAGGTGCAGGCTCCGGCCTAGGATAGGGTGTGTGACTGCAGGAGGGATTTAGGGGAGCAGGCTATGGGAGAGAGTTTGGGACTGGAGGGGATGCAGGGGAGAGGGTGTGGGAGAAAATTTGGTGGCAGGCATGAGTAGGAGTGTGATACTTATGTGGAGTACCCCCACATGGCGATAACTCCTAGTTGGGTGTCTCCATATGCTGCTGACCACAGGACCACCCCTGCAGCTCTCATTGGCTGCAGGGACATGCCAGCAGCCATGCAGAATGAGCAGACAGGAAACACTCTTGCCCTTCTGCGCTGCCGATGGTGCGGAGGGGGGCCCCCGTGCCGTTTTAAATTGGTAGACCAAGGACCGCACCGGGGGAGAGGGGTGTGCACAGGAGTGGCAGGCAGGGCCAAGGGACAGACCCAGGCCCAAACTGTGCTAGACCCAGGTCCCAGGCCAAGAATATTCCTGGTGCCTGGGCATCATGGATCCATATAACTCATTTGCATGCAGGTGTGTAGTAATCCATAAAGTTAGCAGTACTAAACTTGGAGCTGCTTCTGATTGGCTATTTCAGGGAGATGCATTTTTGCAACTCTTTTATCCATGGTGTTGAATCCAGAGTCCTGTATTATCATGCACACTAAGTGAAGCTTTGTTTCTATTCACTTCACTAGCTTCCTGCCACCAGTGAGTGTGGGGGCAATTTCCTCCCCTTCTCCCAAACCCCTTCCATGAGCCAGGGAGCAGAGTGGTCTGGGGGTAGGCTCTCTCCCCTTTTCCCCACCGCTGGTGAGTGCAGGGGTGAGCCCAACCCCTGCTGCCTCCTTGCCCTGCTTCTGTTCCCCGCAGCTCCTGACCCCATAGCGCTGCTGCCCTTGAGTACTTCCCACCACTCATCTGCAGAGGGGCCGACCCCTTGATCCCCCCCATGGAGGGTGCAAGTATTCTGGCTATACAGGGCACCAGAACTGGTAGGAATGGCCTTGCTCCAAACCCCCTCATCCTTGGCCCCATCCCAGAGCCTGCATCCCCTGGAGCCTACATCCCCTGCCAGCCAAACCCCTTATCCCAGTCCAAAGTCCCCTCCCACGCCCAAATACCCTCCTAGAATTTGCACACTCTCACACACCCCTGTGCCCCAGTCTGGAGCCCCCTCCTGCACCTCAGCCTCCTGCTCCTGCCTAAGAAAGTGAGGAGGGATGGAGTGAATGATAGAAGGAGGGGGATGGAGTGAGCGGGGCAGGGCCTCTGTGAAGAGGTGAGCCAGTGGTGGGGCCTTGGTGAAGGGGTGGGGAAGGAGTCTCCAAAAAATGTTAAATCAAAATGGCAGAGTTGTTGACTCGAGTCCCACGACTTGAACTTGAGTCCGACTTAAGTCACCTAGGTGACTTGACTTGAGACTCAACTCGGGTTCATTGTTTGTGACTTGAGATTCGATTTGAGACTTGCTAATTTTGTTAAATCGACTTGGTGAAAAATTTGTCCGAAAATGCCGATATTGATGGCTTGCTTGTACAAGAGAGACTTGACATTTTTTAAATTAAGACTTGAGACTCGACTTGGGACTTGACTTGAAAGTGACTTTAGGTACTCAAGACTCGACTTGAGACTTGAACTGTGGTGACTTGAGACTCGACTTGGATTTGACAATGATGACTTGAAGACAACACTGCAAAATGGTAGTCCTAAAGTATTACAGTAGTTCTCAAAACAACATTAACATCCTAAAATGATTCTGAGGGGTAACCGGAAAAACCCAGCTGCAGAGCCAGATGAAACAGGAAAAACTTCAAAAAACAACCAATAGTCTAGTAGCACCTTAAAGACTAACAAAACATGTAGATGGTATCATTAGCTTTCGTGGGCGCAATTCACTTCTTCAGATGACGGGAATGTTGGATGTCCAGATCCAAGAATAAATAAGGGAAGGAGGGAGGGGGCGAGAAGGAAAGAGGAGGAAGAAAAAAAGAGACAGTGAGTAGATAAGCTTCAGAGGGATAGCCGAGTTAGTCTAAAATGACTAGTTGGGTTTTATTGATTTTGACAGAATAACAGCCCTAACTATTTATTCCGCCATTTCTCTATCTTCTGAGTTTCCTCACACCCTAGTATCTTGCAATAATCTTTTTTTTTCTAATGTTCTCTCAAAAGTTGGCCATTATTGGTGTTTCAGAACCTGTAATTCTTCCTTAATTAATCCTGTGCATACAGTGCACAGGCCCAAGATCAAGCACCTTATTGCATTTAACTGCGAGTGCTTCATATTGTAAAAGGTAGCTTTTCATACTGGATCAGATTGTCATTTCAGAGTCCCTCCGTGCCTCAGACCCTTAAAATGTTGTATAGTTATAATAATTTAAGAATATTCTTTGCCTCTTTTGGAAATCATATTTATGGCATGACTAATCATTTTCCTGTTATTTAACAAATTTGCTTTTCCTATTCCCTTTTGTATACACACTTGCTAATAAATCTTTTAATTTTAATTTGCAACCTTGGTTACTGGATTATATCATAGTGCTGCAAATTTAGTCTCCATAGAGGACTGCACGCTCCAAGTTCTTAAAATCCATAAATAAATATGAAGAAGGTTCTTCTTCTAAGTGATTTTGTCCTCTCATTGTTTTATTACTACAGGTTAAACCTCGCTGGTCTGGCACCCTCGGAACCTGACTGGTCCCGAACAAGGGGTTTTGCCGGACAGGGGAGGTCCCTCCCCTCCTGACCCAGGCGCCACCCTGCTCCCACTGCTTCCCCAGCCCCCTGGAACTCTCTAGATGCCGCTGGCCCTGCTGCTACCAGGGCTGGAGTGCCATGGCCAGAGCTCTGCAGGTGGGGCAGAGCTCCGCAGTGGGCAGTGCTCTACAACCAGGGCAGAACTGAAGCTGCCTGGCTCCTTGACTGGGGCCAGAGTTGCGCAGCCAGGACAGAACTCTGCAGCCATCTGGCTCTGCAGCTGGGGCTGGAGCTGCACAGCCAGAGCTGGAGCTCCATGGCCGGGGCCAGAGCTCCTGACCATTGCTTCTAAATGTCGCACACTCCTTGCAGGGCAGGGCGGGAGGAGACTTCACATGCTTTCCCCAGCCTCCAGGCTTTGATTGGCCTGGGGGCGGGGGAGCAGCCGGGGCCGCCCA